GAAGACTGAGGCAGAAGGATTGCTGGAGCTCAACAAGTTGACATTGGGGTGGCCATGAGTGTGCCACTGTACTCCAGACTGGGCAATAGAGTGAGACTCCGACTCAAAAAAAAAAATAAGAATATTATAAATAGGCCCCCAATCTCTTCTGACTTGTAAGGTTTCTGCTGAAAGGTCTGCTGTTTTCTAATGTATTTCCCTTGGTAGGTATTCTATCCCTTCTATCTAGCTGCCTTTAATATTTTTTCTTTGATGCCAACTTTGAATAATCTAACACAGTGGGCCTTGGGGATGGTCATCTCACAAAGTATTTCACAGGAGTTCTTTGGATTTCTTGTATCTGTGTGTCAATGGCTCTAGCAGGATGGGGGTAGTTTTCATGGATTATGTCTGCAACTACTGTCTCCAGAGTGCTCCTATTTTTTTCCTTCTCTCGAGATGCTGATCAGTCATAGATTTGGCCTCTTTACGTCACTTCATACCTCTCGAAGTCTCTGTTCATATTTTTAAAATTAACTTCATTTTTATCTGACTGGGTTGCTTCTAGGGATTGGTCTTCAAGCTCTGAAATACTTTCCTCTGCTTGGTCAAGTCTGTTAAGGCTTACAGCTGTGTTTTGAAATTCCCATACTGAGGCCTTCGTTTCGAGGAGTTCAATGTGGGTCTTTCTTAGAATGACCATGTCAGCTTTTTCTTCTTGAACTGTTTTCATGGCCTCTCTGAACTGGGAGTCCACCTTCTCTTGGATCTCGATGAGTTTCTTTGACATTCATGTCATGAATTCTATGCCTATCATCGTGGACAGTTCATTCTTATATGATCTGTTACTTGGGAGCAGGTGCGATTGTGTGGGGGTGGTGAAACCCTCTGGTTTTCTGTGTTGCTGGTGTTCTTGTGCTGATTTCTTCCCACCTGAGGGTGCTTTTGCTTTACTTTCTCTTTTGGAAGCTACTGGTTGTAGAGATTTCTTTTCTTTTCTTTCCTTCCTTCCTTCCTTCCTTCCTTCCTTCCTTCCTTCCTTCCTTTGTTAGGTGTTGTAGTTTGGGCTGTAGGCCTGTAAATGGCGCTAAGGGACCTGCCTAATGGGTTTCTGCAGCCAGCCTGCCTGAGGGCAATGGGTTCCTGCTCTTGTGTTCACAGGATTGTAGGGGCCCTGCTCACACCTTTGGCTGAGAACTGGTGATCTGGATCTAGTAACAGCCTAGTTTGGGAGGTGGGTGCTAGACACCCTGATTGTTCCCTGCTCACATTTATTTTGACTGCAGAGACCTTGTTGGGAAGGATGCACTCAAGTATGCAGAATGCCTGCTTAATGGCGCTGGTAGCTGGCCTCCCAGAGGGCAGTGTGGTGGTTCCCTGATACCACATTTAGGCAAGTACAGGGGGATCTGCTTGTGATCTGTGATCTGAAGGCCATTAGCAGGCAATCTGTGCCTGGGAGAAGCAGTCAAGATGTGGGAGGGCCACTGCACTCCAGTCTGGGCGACAGAGTGAGACTCCAACTCAAAAAAAAAAAAAAATTATGGGAGGGCGAAGAATGCCCCAACTCCTCACTGCTCCTGCTTGTTTCAGCTGCGTGCCTGTGCTGGCAACACATGCTGTCACTCAGTTGTGCTCCTCCCTCCCTAGCCTGAAAGCAACAGTAGCAAGAGCCACAGCGGCCAAAGTATTTGCCTTTCAGCAGGAGGACCTGGAGCCTCTACTGGTGTTGGTGCTTGAGTTGCATGGGGGTCAGTGGCCTGAGGGATTCCACATGGGTTTGTGATTGCCACTGGGGAGGGACATCATGCTGGCCTAGAGTCCCAGGACAGGCAAGTTGCAGGGGCTATCCCTTGACTCGGATTGCCAAGGGATCATGGTGGCAGATGGGGTTCCGGGGTATTACTCCCTCACTTCTTACACTCACCCCTTCACCATTTGGGGGGACTCCTTTGTCTCCACACTAGGTCCAGTCCATGTCAGCAGGCTGTTTAATTGCACTTCTCTGCCTCCCGTGGGACGCGTTGCCTCTCTGTTGAGTCCCAGGGGTGGGGGTGGGGGGGATGTTTCTCCTTGCCTTAGTTTGAGTATAGAGACTCATTCCCTATTTCTGGTTCCTCTCTGTGAGAGAGGTGCAAGCCAACTCCAACTTCATTTTCCACAGTTTTAGTTGCCATCAGTTGACTACAGTCTTTCTAGCTGGTGGGCCATGAGCTTTATCTACTCTCCTACCAAAAATGCCTTAGTTCTTACCAAGTAAGCAGTGCTTCTCAAGTTTCCACCTAGTATCCCTTTCCAGGTCACTAGTTAATGATCCCCAAGCACAGCTGGGTTTACTTCCTCAAAAGGCCCCAACACTTAATAGCATCACCTTAGGGGTTAAGTTCCAACACGCAAATTTTGGAAGGACACATACATTCAAATCATAACAGCTAGCTTGTGACAAAGTCAAGAGCAGCATATAACACATAACTTTTTTTCATTACACCACACCAAGCTTGACATTTTCTTTTGGATTTCCTGCTTTCCTTCCTTATTAATAGTAAAATAAATACCAGCCTCAGCCTAGAGGTAGACATTTGGTTATGATTCTACACAGTAACTGAACTTCTTTAAAGTTCTTATAAGGCAAAACCTTTACTGAATATGTCATTGGTGAGAGCAGTGGTTCCCAGAACTGACTGCATCAAAATCTCCCAAACGATGTTTGGAAAATATATTTTTCTCAGGCCTGTAGATTATGATTCAGTAGATTCAAGGTGAGGCCTGAATATTCGTATTTTTTAACAAGCTTTTTGGGTGATTATGATAAGCAACCAGATTTAGAAACCAGTAGATAAATTCAACTACAAGATGATTTGCACAGTGACCTCTTTTGGCCATCCTTTAAAATATGTTCTGTTATTTTTAGAGCCAAATTTAGCACTGGTCCAGTGTTCTCCTTTACATATCGTGTCCAAAAACTTTTAATTTTAAAGAGAGGAAGGGAAGGGAAAGATATTTTTCTGATGTGTTTGTGTGAACTCATCCTTGGTTCACCTAAAAATATGAAATACAGTAAATAAGGACTTATAACTATAATAGCTGGTTATATCATTCATGAATGAAAATTATCTATAGTGTATATTGATTGGATTTTAGATTTCACTCTGCTTTAAAAACAATCTTATTACATGTCCTGAAAATAAGTTAAGCATTGCAAAGCTTTTTATAATAATGATTGTCAGTACTTTTATTTTCTAATTAACACAAAATGTCTGAATTATTGGTTTTAGCACCTTTGTGAAGTAGATAAGAAGCAGTCATCTTTTCATAGACCAGGAAAGAGGGTGATATACTAGGCTGGGGATGGATTTTGATTCAAGAAATACTTTCTGAGCATCTATTATGGGTAGGATGCTCAGAAGAGGAAAACCTCGCCTTGCCATTAATTAGCTGAGTAATGTTGAACAAGTCTCTGTAGCTCACTGAGCCTCAGCTTCCTCATTTCTGAAATGAGGGATTGAATTAACACAGAGAGGCAGACAGGTAGATGTTGACTTGAGACTTCTCCTATTTGTCCTTTCCTTTATGAGTTTTGATGCATAGCATGAATAACTCCTTGAAGGAAACCAAACTTTTCCTGACTGTCCTGGAATTTAAATGTCTACCTAATATTTCATGATATCAGGAGTGGCATTTTTCTCTCTCTCTCTTAAAATCTTCAATGGTAAATGGTGGCAATAGGCAACATTTATAATTCTGTCTCCCCCTTCTGACTTAATACTAGTCTATACCTATGAGACAGGAGTTCTAGGAGTTATATAAATGATATAAGTGTAAGAATTTAGATACATTTATAATGATTTAGATAAATTTTGTCCCACATCATTCAGAGGAATTGGGGCATGTTTAATATTTTCTAATGTAATTGGCAACATAAAAGTGTATATTTTTAAATCCCCGTTTCTTTTATTACCAGTAAACTTGAGCTCCCTCCTCCCATAATTTTGGCCATTTGTCTCCTCAGCTTTACATGCTTGTCTTATAGATTTGCATTAAACCTTTGCCACATTTTAAATATTTTTTCAGTTTATTATTACCTTTTAATACATATTTTGGAGCACTTTCAAATGTTTAAACTTTATAAATACTATAAAAAGGTAAATAATAAAAATATATAACTGAATCTGTGTGAGCCTATTCAGACCGATCCTGAATAGAACCATTAATTTCTAAAATGGATTATTTTAGTAAATTAGACCTTTTTCATTTCATCAAGAGTAGTTCCGAGTTTAAAGTATATCTTGTTTCAAGAAGCATTTAGATAAATAAGCTACTGATGAAAATGTCAGACATGAAAATGCCACGTTCTGTGCTAGTCACTTATATAATTAATTATGAGAGTAACCAAACACTATGCTCCAAGTAACATCACATAGTGTGTTATGCCCACTCTTTAGATACCCTTTGGAGTACTGGGTTCCACAAACCATTCTATCAAGTGACAGATTGCTAGACTGAAATGACTGTAGCCACTCCCAGTATAGCAAATCTTATGTTATGTTTAAAAGATTAAATGAGCTTTATATGTTTGTAGATATTTAAAACACAAGTATAAGATAGTTGAAAGACACCACCATCACTTGTACTGTAGACTTATAAAAGAGATCATTCCAGAATTCTACATATTGCAGAAAAGTAATATAGAATCAATTCCTAAGACTTATTACATTTAATTTAATCTTATTTTTCCCATTTTAATCTCGAATAGATATTGTACTGGATAGTAAAGGAGGAAAAATGTAAAAAAGAAGGAAAATTCCATTACATTTTTAAATCAAATAACTGTATTGAGGCATAGAAAGTTAATTTGAGTGCAGAAATCCATGGAACTGTTCGTTTTGTGTAGTTACAGAAGGTCATTGATTTAATTTTTTTTGTAATAAATCTGGTTCATTGTCAAGAGCCCTGGAACTCACTGTACTTCTTCTATACCAATCAGTTATAACTTCCCTAACATTTTTGGCTCTTCTTTACAGGAAGAGGAAAATCTGTGAGCTCTATGCCAAAGTTCTGGGATCCCAAGAAGCGCTACACGTAAGAAACCCCTAGCTTTAATCCCTAGCAAGTTCTGCTCTGTTTGCTCTAAGTGGTAAAGTAAAGCAGATTCTGATTTCCTGACAGTCTTCTGAAGAGAGTATAAAGGGATATGCTGAACTTAGAGGATAAACTTCAGCAGTCACAAAGGCCATTAAAAGCTGGTGTCAGATGCATGGAATTTTTGATGCAGAGGCTCTTTTGGGCTGTTTAAATGTTCACTGGATAACTGGCAGCCAGTTGTGATCAGAGCCTGGAGCTGTAGGTAGTATGTCGAGGAAGGGGGGGGATGGCTTCCCAGAATAGAGGTCCTGCCCTCCTGTTGATGTCACCTGTCTCCTGCTGTACAATAAAATTCCAGATATGTCATCATTTGTTGGTAAAGGCACAGTTGTATGTACTTGACAAGATAGACTAAATCTAGCCCAGGTTAAAGTCATACTAATTCATTTTTTTCACATGTAGACTCAATTCATAACTCATTTAGGAGTATCAGTGCTTTATCTACTGATAGCTGGGGGCTCTTTTCAGGAGATTATCTCTAACTGTTCAAATAATAAACTTTCAGAATATGTTAGGGAAATCAGAGAGGGTTCTCTTATGTCCCCCAGGAAACAATTTTTGTCTTAATTGCCCCCTTTTTGGCAGGATTCCCATTAGCTTTTCCAGCTTAGAGAAGGGGTTGGGGGAAAAGCCTTTCTTAGACACTTGCCTTCTGTTTCCTCCCTCACACCCTTGTCTCAGCAGTAATGCCTAGGTAGATAGGGAAGTAAAGTTTGCTATTTTAGAGATGCCAGAGATTTGAGCAGTCCTTTCTACAAGCTGATTATTGATGGAGTTTCCTGTAAACTTACCTCCAAAGACTTCAGAATCTGTGTAGGGATGCCTTCTCACCCAGATATTGGGATACTTCATGTCTTTCCTAGTCAAGAGGTTGCGAAAATCAAAGTATACATGTTTTTGCCACTTGGTACCTCACAAAAGGTCATTACTTGGTATTATTGTGTTTCCCCTTCAATTTTTTTCCCAAAATCAGGTCTTCTTTATTTTCTTAATGTAAACTGTTTGCTAAAGTAAAGCATACAAGAGCCTTCATTGTTGACTGACAGCATTTCAGCTTTGTTTTCCCTTTGGCATTTTTTTCCGCTAAACTGCAGCCAGTGCACTATGAAGAGAAGAACTGGTGTGAGGAGCAGTACTCCGGAGGCTGCTACACGGCCTACTTCCCGCCTGGGATCATGACTCAATATGGAAGGTACTACCCAAGCACAACACCAATTAATACAAGACCTGTGCCGAACTTAACAGGAGACGCAAAGTGCAATGAGAATTCTAGAAATAGTGCTCAACATCTCTATTTCCTATATCCCAGATAGTCAGCTTGTATATTTCTGGATCTCCATAGGAAAATAAAGACATTAGTGCATAGAACAATAGCTGTCAGCATATAGAACAATGGCAGAACATGGGGAGGACTTCAGATATCAGCAGTGCTTGTGAGACTGAAGCAAGCTGCAGTGCCCTCCAAGGGGCCTTCTTGAGCCCAAGTTGACATTTAGCCTCACATGACTGCCCTAGGCTCCTTGGCACCTGTCTACAGAAGGACATTGGGTGGGTTTATTCAATGCTTCTGTCTTGCCAACAGAGCAGCATCAGACAGTCCTTTTCAAGGGGAAGAGTCCTCACGGGATACAGCTAATGTGTGAGGACATGAGATCCACATGGAGTCAGGGAATCCACCTTGACCTAGAAGTCCCTTGCTCCATAGGAGCCATTGTTTCTATGCATCATCAACATAGTGTCCAGGGTCACTTGCTCAGTTACAAGGCTTGCTCGGTTACAAGGGACACCACACTCAGGGAAACCCAAAATGATAGCCTCCTAGCAAGTATTTACATTCATTTATGATCCTAGCAAGGATCCTAGCAAGTATTCACTGTTCATTATTTCTAGTCCTCACAGCCTAGATGCAGTTTATCAATGTGGGGTGGGAGGGGAGGCACTTTTAGCATAAGCAGTGTTGTCTGATCATATAGGTGATATTACACCTTCATCTGGTTTCTAGAGAAACGGAGCTAGAAAGTTAACATAACGTCATATGTGCTTACTAAGAAGGAAGAGCATTTGTTAACCCTTTCCTTATAGGAACTTTTTGTTTGTCTATTTTGTTGTCATTGAATCAAATAGCCATTTGTAACGATAACAGAACTGATGAACTGGATTAGTGCTGGAGTCAAAGTAGAAACCTAGAAGACAGGACTAGGATCAGGAACAGATGAAGCCAAGGGTCCCAGAATTGAAAAAAAGGAGTGCCAGGGGGTTGAGGTGAAGGCCTTCTGGGTGAGGGTTGGGTGTACAGCTTGGGAGAGTTCATGAAAGTGGCCCCAGACATGGCAGGAATCAAAGCCAAGAAGGTTGGAGAGGACAGTTGCCATTTAGTCCTGCCTTTCCTTGGTTCTCTTTGGCAGGATCTCTTTGTCAGCAGATGCCCATTTCCTTGCCCTAAATCAGCCCTCAAAGAAGTTCAGAGAAGCTGACTATACAGAGCTTGTCTTTTAAGGAGACACACACGTAACTCTCTTGGGTCTCTCCTTTGCCAGAAATGGCAGTTAATCTCCCTGTCTTTCTACTCACCGCTGCAGTTCCTGCTCACACACTCAAGTGCCTGCATGGCTGGGGTCTGCGACCATTTTCAAGAAAGAATGCACCCCTTGGAAAGACAGTGTAGGGAGCAGAATGTAGGGAACAGCAAGCAGGAAACAGCAAAGAAATTTGATTTTTGGATCGAGTGCATGATCTTATATTTCAGCTCTGGCTGGCTTGGGAAGAGTCAACATCACCTTTAGTGACTGATGTTCTGAGAGCCTCATTTTCCCTGCTTTGAAAGCTCAGATCCTTGTGTACAGGCCCAGGAAACAAGGAGAGCTTTTCACCTTGGGCTGAGTCACATGAGTATTTTTTAAACAATTTGAATTTCCCTATCTTTTGCATAGCTAACAAGGACAGCAATTGGCTCGTGTACTTTCATCACCTTCCCAGGTAACTGTGTGACCTCTTTGTTCCCTTGAAGGGTGATTCGTCAGCCAGTGGGCAAGATTTACTTTGCTGGCACAGAGACTGCCACACAATGGAGTGGCTACATGGAAGGAGCAGTCGAGGCCGGAGAACGGGCAGCTAGAGAGGTAAGGGCGGGGAAGAGGGGGAGCAGGGAGGCGAGGCACTAACCCTCCTGAGTCATGGCAGCATTTTTGGCATCTGGTCTTACTAGTTCTTGACACTGATAGAATCTTTTTGTCCATTCTCTGGCCCTCACTCATGGGGTGCATCTGTAGCCAGCAGGGCCTTCGATCTGTTGAAACTACATGACCTCATTTCATACTGTGGTAACTTTCTTTCAGGTCTTGAATGCTTTGGGGAAGGTGGCCAAGAAAGACATCTGGGTACAAGAACCTGAATCAAAGGTAAGTTTGGTGGCTCCAGGCTCCAATCTCCTTAGACCAGTCATGGCACATAAACTCACATCTCCCTTCTTGTAGCCTCTGATTTAATTATAGACTCAATTATCCAGAGGGTATATATGCATGGATCTTACAGAAATGTTTTGTTCCTTCTTGGCAGCTCAGGAGTTTTTTGCTAATGATCTGTGTTCCTTCATCTAGGATGTTCCAGCAGTAGAAATCACCCCCACCTTCTGGGAGAGGAACCTGCCTTCCGTTTCTGGCCTGTTGAAGATCATTGGATTTTCCACGTCAATAACTGCCCTGTGGATTGTGGTGTACAAATACAAGCTCCTGCCACGGTCTTGAACTTCCATTTTCATGCTTTCTGCTTACTCTTTTCAGTACCATCAAAAGGAAAACGTTGACAAAATAAAGGTTGTGTCATTGGACTATTTTTAAGTACACTAGGTTTAACTCCCCTCAACTTAGTCTCAGTCACTGTTAAAGTAAAACAACCCAAAGAATCACCTGAAATTAATCAGTAAGATCAAGCTCCCTCTTCTTTGTGTAAACTAACTCGTGTTGATTGATAGAATAAAGCCTTGTGATCACTTTCTTAATTTCAAAAAGTTAAAGTTGATGTACTCATCAGAAACAATTTCTGTGTCCTGTTTTTCTTCACTTTAATGCAAAATACCTGATGATTTCAGAAGTAACGCGTTTGACTTTCTTTCTGTAGATGTGGAGTAGGTGAAGACTTGGCCTGGGACTGTTCTTTTTCTGTCCTTAGGCAATGGTGAAGTGTTGGTACAGAGTTCAGAGACTCACAGCCTCCTGGGGGGAGCAGTCTCACTTTGGATGAGGAAATAGTGAAAGAAAGCAGTGTAGGGGTAGGGGCATGCGGATCCTCAGACCAGGACAATGACATCTTGTGGGCCGCTGCCTCAAGAATCTCCTGAGCACTTCTAGTTCCTCTGACTTTCTAGACATCTAGTCTCTGTGCTCGCTTATTTGTACGCTCTCCTCTTTCACTTCTTACGGAGGAGAGTGTTTAACCAAGTTATAATGCTTAAAATGGACTTGCTGTGACTTCAGTGCTGTTCCCCAGATTAGCATAGTAAAACAGTGGCAGAACTGTTCCCCAGGAGGTCACCCAGCCTAGCTCCATGTGAGACCGGCTACAATGGGCATCTTCTCTTCCCCCTGGAAGGCAGCTAGATACCACTTCATCCTTGTCAGTGATAACTTTCTATGCTGACTTCAGGAAAGCAGCATTTTTTTTTTTCACATGGCCCCTGGCTGTCTGAAGCCCCTAGGGCATATATATATTTTTCTTTTTTTCTATGACCATAGAACTAGACAGGTCTTTTAACTTACATATGTCTTCAACCTGGTTACCTCTACTTAAACATTAGCATGCCAACTTCTCTCAAGTACTGGAATACACATAAGTCTGGCTGTTATTTGTTAAGACTGTCAAATACAGAAAGGGAAATAGGGCTCTATATTATAACCTCACTTGCTTTAGTTATTAAGTTTTATAAAAGACATAAAATTGATTTTATATATGAAGAATGAGTTCTCTCTTAGGAGTAATGTGGGCCCAGAAGGGTGCCCATCTCTTGTCTTTCCCATTTTAAAAACTCACATTTTTAAAAACCACTTCCAAAAGTTTTAACCATAAAATACTTTTTTTAAAAGTATTGTTATTTGAAGGGAATTAAAGATCGCCAGAGGAAACCAGCCAACCCATGTTTATTACATCATTAACCTTATAAATCCAGACTTAAGTTGCTCGACCCTGGAGTGAGGACAAAGGTCTTTCCAAGTTTGGGCCGTCCTAAGAGCTGGATCTTTCTGCCACTCCTTACCTTGCAATTCAAAGACAGCATTTTAGCTGACTTAGGAGTTTTGGTAATGTCTTGGACAGGCTCCAGTACATAAGGAGTTGCCACGTTGTATAACAAACTGCTTTGAGAAATCTTGTCCCTAATCGATCGCAGTTGTTTCTATTCACTTACTGATTAACTCAGCCCTGACACACCTTTTGGGAAATGCTGACTTGAACTTGCTAACTGGCCATAGTTTTAACAGTAATCAAGTTGTTAGCATATTTAAATCTTGAATGTTGAAGGACTCATGAGTATGCGATTTACCCTCTTCTCCAACTCTTTAGAAAACCATTTAATTTATTCTAACTAGATCAACCCTATTAAGCTATAGCTTGGGTATCAAAATGAATGCCAATCCAGATGTACCTAGACATGAATTTGGAGCTGAGAACTCCCACCATATGTGAGGTCATCCAGCATGAAGATACCATAGATCTTTTCTCTGAAACAGAGAAATGAAAGTCAGCTTAAGTGACTGATAGAGACTGGCCCTGTTAAGACATCCACTTCACAGTTCTGAAGGCTGAGTCAGCCTCACTCCATAGTTTGGTCGAGAATTAGATGTTGAAAGTTCATCTGTCTGTCACAATTAACTATTAAATAAAGTCTCATACTCCACTGGAGAGTATGGATTGAAAGATTGTGAACCATGTTTAGTATGATTGTGAACTTGGTGCCTGATATTCCACATCTGAAGTTTGCTCCAGTGCTGTATGTGGGATATGCATACGTATGTGTTTTGCCATTGAAGTAAGATTTTTGCCTGTATGGTACTGTTTGTTAATAAAGTGCACTACCAACCCTGATTCAGACCTGGCTCCTGTATTCAGTTTTATTCAGAGGGTTCAATGGCTGCTTATAGCAGATCACAATAAGGTATTGGCCATGTGGGACAAGCTTCAAAAACCACTTGATCTTGACTTCAAATTCTCAAAGTTGAGTTTGATTCTCATGTGTTATTGAGATTTCTTTAGAACTGATTAAATACTAGAATACTGTAGTCTGCCTGATTCTGATCCAAGTTTTCTCACCTAATTAGCTTATGATACCTTGAGTTCTCTGCCTCAGTCTCCCCATCTGGAAAAGGATGAGTTGCACTAGCTGGTTTCTAAGGATTCTTTTTTATGGCAGCATAATGTGATATATGCATTTTGTTGCCAGTGCTATATCTATTTTTGCCTATTGGTATGGCACGGACAAGACATTCAGTCTTTTTGTACCTAGTTTCGTTCTTTGTCTTAGATTGAGCTCCCTGGAAATGGACTCTGAGATGCAGAGTCAGGGCAGAAAGTTTATAGGAGATGGCTCTCAGGACAAACACCTAAGGGAGTAAGGAAGGCAAAATTGGGCAGGAGAGTCAGCCAACAATGCAGTTGCAATTGAACTTCAGTAGATCCTAATTGCAGGGTGGTTGGTTAGCAAGACCCTTCAAAACTGTCCCTCATCGAGGCAAGGAGGTCTGGCCTCGGTGTCCCTTCATGTCTGGAAAAGAGTATTACCTTGGATAAGGCAAGTTCAAAGACAATTCCTAGTAAGGAACTGTAGTTGTGAAATGAGACTAGCCTCATTTCATAGCTAGTGGATCCAGAGCAAGACACCTCAGTATCTACTTTACTCCCACAGAAACAGTTGCCTTGTCGTGTAAGAGACATTGTGGGCTTAAGCTTTGGCTTTACAGATAAAAATGGAGCTCTCTCTATGAACCTGTCCCAGTAGGTAAGGGGACTTCTTTTAGAAGGTTGTATTTCTGCACTGTTAATTGGAAGAAACAAATTCCGAATTGGAAGGAACCCTGGAAACGATTCAATCTCTATCTCAATAAAGGAGCCCCATCTATAGGTTACTAACAGAAAGATCAAAGGAAAAAACATACACTTCCAAACAGGAGTCCAAAATCCAGTGACTTCAGGAGTCAGGCAGCTACAGGTGAGCAGCAGCAGACATGAGACATTAGGGAGTAGTGGGGACTGACTGACCTAAGAAGTATTTACCCTTTTGAAGAAAATTTATATTCAAATTCCTTTAAAGGATTCCCATTCAAAACACATTTGAAGACTTGGCTTACATTGCCAAGTTGTCCTTAAGTCCATGATAAATAAGTGTAAGTTTCAGTTTTCACTTAAAAGGCAAATTATTTTTGTATGTCCTTGACTTTCTGAGAAATGAGCACCAAAACTGGCAACCATGTTGTAAAGCTACCTAGAGCAAGTAAGAGAGGCCTGGGTTGGGAGGGCAAAAAGACAAGAAAACAAAGAGAAAAGCCCCCTTAGATACCAGAAATCTCCCTCAAGTAATTACCCTTTCCCCAGCCCAGCATCCCATGGCAATGTTTATCTCCTGCTGTGTCAATGTCGTGATTGACGAGAGCAGTGCCAGACTTTATTGGAAAACTGCGTCCTGGAAGTGAGATAGAAATCGCCACTCTTACGTCAACATTTAATCTGTGCCATGATATAATTCCAGTAAACAGGACATCAACATTGAATGGATTCATTTTTTAAAAACCGAAATACTGTTCACTTTGCACTGAGGTGGTGGTAAACATGCTAGACATTGGAGGAAAACGACAAAAACAAAGGAAGGTACTAGATAATAATAGCAGCTCTCTTTCTTCTATCAGAGCCCAGGGCTTGGTTCTCTTCCTTGGCCAAAGCCATTCCCTTGAATTCTAAGGCAAAGGCAGGTCTCATAGTGACAGCTATTGTGAATTGGTTGGCTTTAGCCTGGAGCCAGATGTCTGAAGCAGCTTTGGAGGCCTCGTGTGAAAAAGTTGGCTTCAGGGAACTTGCTCTTTCTTCAAGGTTGGCTGTAGCTCCTTCAAGCAAGAAGCCCCCACCCATGCATGTACAATTGGTGAAAACCATTATGTATTTGCACACCTCACAGTCACATCTCAGTGGGAATCAGGTTTTCCTATGAATGGGCCGCAGATCTTTTCCACAAGCCACTGAGATCTATGGGTGAAATGGAGTGGAGGGCAGTGATGTGGCTGTATGCTGGGGGATAGGGTGAGGAAAAGAAAAAGAGGAGGACAATAGAGGGGTGCTTAAAGGTCCACAGAGCAACGCGATAATGAGAATCATGGTGGATTGATGCCACCCAAGTGAATAGGGCAACCCTGCACCTTGTGTCATTTACTATTTACATGTCCCTAGACAGTCACTCTGGGACTCTGTGCACTTGCCCTATGGAGTTGATGGGAAAAGTGAGATAATGCAAGTAAGGGCTTAGTGCACTAGGCAGTCAATAACTATCAGCTGTTCTACATCAACCTCTTAGAAGAGAAGCAGACAGAAAGCACCTTTTAAGTTTTGTGAGCAGTTCTCACCTTGAATTTCTTAGTCATTCAACACATACTTATCGAGAATGTACTATGTGGTAGGTAAGGCACTGTTGTGATTCAGCAGTGAACAGGACAGACAGAGCCCATCTCATGGAGCACACAGGCAATTGTAGACACCAAGTAACACATTCGTTGTGGCTCTAGTCAGTGCTATTACAGAAAAGCACAGGATGCTATGAACATGGGAAAAGTGAGATTTAAAGAGAGGTTACTAGGATGTGTCCTCAAACCTCCATAAGCATTACTGGTGGCAAGTCAGTAAGGACATTGCATAGAACATAGAAAGGAAGTTACCAAAAAAATAGCATGGCCAAATGGTAAAGAAAGCCAGAAGTGCCATCAATAGATGCTGAATGTTACATTCTGTTTGTTCCATTGACCATATTTCGCCAGAACAGTCTTTTACTGTTCCCCTATCTGCCC